AAAAACAAAATAATTTTTATAAAATAAGTAATAACTGATAATAAAATTAAACTTAAAGATTTTCTTCCGAGTATATATAATATTCAACTGTCTTTATAAAAAGGCGACAACTCTAGTTAAAATTAGGTATTGTGTATATCAGATTTTAAAATAAATCAAATAGTTTTATTTAAAAAATTTATAATTATTTTTTTTCTACATTCTTGAGACAAAAATACTTCTGAAAAAACCAGACAATTTATTTTATAATTTTTCAAATTATTGTTTACCAAGTGAGATGCATGCAATCTACTGAGCATTTTATTTCAATTATTAGATAAAAATTAGTGTTTAAAGCTCCATTAAAAAAATACACTATTATCTGCATCATAAATAAAAAAAAATTGCACTAGCTCCTATAATACTAACTACTAGGATAATATTGGTTAAAATTAAATAAAGCAATTGTACTTTTAATTTTTTTATGATTTTATAATTAAGTACGAAATTTCAATGCTCAAATTTTTGTTTACAATGACTTGGTAAACAATGAATTTAGGCAGTTCATTTGCTTTTTGGCTCACAAATAATAACAAAATAATCACTGTCTGTCTACTACAATTTTCGAATTCCTTATGATCACCGGAACTGATAGTGATTTACTCTAGCCTAACCCCCGATGGCTATAAATGATAACGAGACAATTGTATTATCCTAGGTATAGTGGTTTTTTGTTTTGTTTCTGCTTAATTATTTTTTTTTAGTTATATTTTTGTTATTTAACTCTATGTATTTGTGTAAAATAAGGATTATTTTAGCGTCTTAATTGTTTCTGATCATCTAAATATCCAGGTATATTTATTTAGACTATTTTATTAAAAGTATTGTGTTTTATTACTAAAACCGCGAAAATTCATTAGAAAAGATAAAGAAAAAATATATTAAATATGTTATGACATCAAGTCAACCTAATCAAAATATGAGATCTGAATAAAAACTGTCGTGTTATTTAACACTTAAAATATTGTATATTAATTTTAAAAATGTCCTCTGAATTAACCAAGTACAAAATAACTCGTTTTTAATATAGAACCTTCAAAATGTGTAATAATAAATAATGAGATAATATATTTCAATATTTTGAATGATTCACATTAACAGTTGTATAATGAGGTGTATTATTAATATTTTTTGTTTGTTAACCATACTTTAGTGTTATATTAATTACACATGAAAATGTTTTTTTTTACCGTAATAAATTTTCGGTTTACAGCTCCGAAATAAGTATTATAATTATAAAATATGATAAATCAATATTTTTTACTTTACTAGTACAAATTTAACTTTTTCTTTTTTTTTAAATATACAATTATTTTCGATAAAAAATAATAAATGACTCAGTGTTGTTATGGTATTTGTTTCATAAAAACAATTTTTAATATCTAAAAACTAATTCACCGTAAAAATATTTATATAACCTGACATTTTTTTGTTATCGAAAATCTTCGTTGTTTTGATAACGATACTCAAAGAATCTATTTATATTGTACAATAGCATTATTTAATTACTCCTTTTATAATGAACAATTACTCTAATAGTATTACAAAAAAAAAAAAAAAATTATGAATTATTAAAAATTAAGTTTGAAAATTTTTTTCGACTATTATTTCAGTAGAAATTTTAAAAACAAATATGACCTACCTCGCCAAATGCATTCAATGGGAATTCAACATAGTGTTGACGAAGGGTAAAATGAAGTGGGAGGGGGTGTGTTTGGAGTGGTAGTGGCCATGACGTAGGTTCTCGAATGACGTAACGCCACCCAACACCTACGCACGTTTCTAGCGCTGGTCCATTTGGATTGATACTTAGCAGAGAACAATTCTGCACTGTCGTTTTGCGTAAAACTACCCTTCGGTTCCCACGCCCACGCAGTTCATCCCCGACGTAAACGAGGACACAGTCTAACGATATTTTCTATCTACTTCCAAATTCTCAATCTACGTCATGTACTGTTGTGTTTCTCGACTTGTCCCTATTGACAATTGATTTTTTTACAATAAATGCGCTCTATTTTAGTGCCACTGCATTCGGGCGACTTTAAATAACTGTTGCTTTACTTTCATGATTCTATGAAGTGTACCTAATCCTTTTTGGGTTACTCGATAAAGTCGAATATTTATATCTAATTCGCATCGATTAATAATTAATAGCAAACATTCAGTGGCGGCTTTCGTGTTTTTAACGGGTATCCAACAGACAATAGAAACATTTTGCAGTGACACAGCTGTTGAAAGGAAATAAGAACACAACAAAAAAACTTTAATAATAGTATTTATGTTTAATGCATAACGATGTCCTACACAATTTATGGTAATAATTATGCATTTGACAATGTTACGCATTTAGTACGCCGAAACTAGTAAACAAAAGTTGATATTTTTTTTGTTCGTAGAATTAAAACGCCTTAAAGTTGTGTAATTTCAAATAATTGTATGTTATTAATAAATTATTTAAAAAAAATCTTTAATTAAATTTGGATAAAAATAAATGTTTGTTGTTTTCCTGAGCGCGTTACGGTCGTCATTTATCCGTGTACCTCCCCGAAATCGCTCCAAATGCCTCTTAAGGTAAAGATATGGGCAATGACATACTGACGCGCGTTGATCGTCTCTCGCTTCTGGTAGTCGCCTTGCCCTTAATGCGTTATTTTTAAACGTGGTGGCATCGTCGCTACTCCATTGCCATCGGTAGTAGGGGGCCCCCCGGATGCGGCGGCTGTACAATAATTTACAGACAGTACGATTAATACGGGGCGCTAGCGTTTGTCGGTTGGTGTGGAGGGGAGAACAACTCGGGTAACTATCGCTGACGACGGGCGACCGCCATATCGCCCTAGCATTCGGCAGTTCCGTTCCGTTTGCGGTGCTCGGCAATTGTGTTTGTATGTGAGTGTGTGCGCGCTGTCCCTTCGGTTCGACCCAACCAAGTGGCCGCGACTATAATCGTGTTATTAGAATCGTTTGGACGAATCGCAGTTGGCGTTGTCGAAGTATTTTGTTACCCACAAATTTTACAAGTGTGTGATCTCGATTTTTTTCGAAAAATCCGAAAATTAAAAACCTAAAGGAAATATTGGTATTATTATTATTGAATTTTAACATTTAGTGTGTATTGTACTACTACAGTCTTGATTATTTATAAATATATATTTATACATTGAATCATTTCGAAAACGTTGGTGCATAACAATATTGTGTGTGTGCTCGCTACCGTCTAATGGAAAAGGATTCAAATTTACAAGTACGCATATATCTAGTTTAACGCATAGTGTTAATTACTGTTTTAGTTGTAGGAAAAAAATGTATACGTATATTAAAAAAAAAAAAACGTCCCCTTGTTAACTTTGGCGCCCTGGAGTCGGAGAGCGCGCCATAGAATGTTCCAGAAGGTTCGCGCTACCGCCCCGCCCACGTCTAGCAGCTGCTTTGCTTCTACCGCGCTACATAGTTACTGTAGATTTCACTTTCCTCGCCTTTTAAGCTTTTATTTTCTATATATGTAAGTGCTGCACGTACGACAGTCCGTCTTTTAAGATATCATTTTTAACTCGATGCGTTTTTAAGTTTATATGCTGAAAATTTCCTTAAAATGTTGTTTTTTTAAAACTACAATTTTCATATTAGATTTTTATTTTAGTCACAATTATCACTGGTATGTACCTCTTACTATTGTACATTTTAATATACATATTATCATTGGACAAGTTGAATTTTTTTTAATGTTATGAAAAAGGGCAATAAAATTTTTTATATACAATTTTTTAAGTGTATCAGTAGCAACCGGAAATTCGGTTTCCATGATAATTGACCATTGTCACGAAGGTCGTATGCATTTTTGAGTAGTTTATTAGAAATATTGTTGTGGTTCACACATCGATGAACAGTTTTAAACGTTTCTTATCAACGTCGTTAATAAATTTATCGTTTCTTTATCAGCTTTTTAGTTGTTTTTTTCGTTGATTATTGTCAACAGTTTTTTTTTTAACTTAAGTTTCTCTGAAAACAACATAATATTACACAATCTAATTAATATTTGTTTAAAAATTATAAAAAAAAAAAATAACATCATGATCAAAAATAATTGCGGATATCTAATAATTATCGTGGATAAATAATTTTACTTGCTTACATTTGGTTTATTCTAAATAAATATTTTCTCGTCACGCCTATGACCTTCACTCGGATAACATCAGCTGTAGATCGTATTTTTGTTATTTTTGTTATACATAATAGTTGCAATACAAAAAAGTGTACCAGAAATACGTTAAAATTTAACATTTTTGGTCTGAAGAAACTTAAAAATATAGTGTTTACAATTTCAACGCAAAAAGTAAATAATAACAATCGCTATTAGAGAGCTGTTTTTTTCTTGAGTTTTCAACGTTATTATTATTACTTAAACATCTGTATAATATTTACCGTCTGATACTTGTTTTAAAATTTAAAACAAACGGTCGACATTTCTATTCAATACAATTTTTTTTTCACTTAATTTTATCAAAACTAATCAAACTTGCGTTCAGTGTTCTTTTTAAAACCATTTCGTTTATTTTAGTCGAGTCGCACTTACGTTTAACATTACCAGGCCCAAAGATAATCAAATAATTAAAAAAGTAGATTACTTTTTCATTATTTCGAATTTCCCCATAAAACGATAGTTGATTGGTGTTAGTTAACATATTATCTTGAATAAAAGGTAAATTTAAATTTGTGTCATTGACCCAATGTTAAAAAACATGTATCAAAAACATTTTATCGACCAATTTGAAATGTTTCATGAATTGTTGGTTGCTCATTAAGCGAAGTACTGATGACGTCTCGCTTGTCCTTGAACTCGTGGCCCATATAAATTTGATAAATCTTAGCACTTGTTCATGTAGGTTTGTCAATGAACCTATATTAATATACTTTTTCAATTCAATTCGTATTTAATGCTGACATTGTTTTTTCTGTTACAGAACGGACACCTAGACGTGTCTTCTAAGGACCTAGACCACATGCGGCCAGCTGCTATGCTGTCCACTTGTGGCGACGACCGCCAGAAGCCAGGCGGCCGTTCTCAAACAGATCTCAGCAGACTGGCAGTACTAAGTTACGAACAAGTGGCTCGGCTGAATGACGTCATGGACGAGACTGTAAGCATCCACGGTCGTGGTAATTTCCCAACTCTTGAAGTGCGTTTACGCGACCTAGTAGCTATGGTCAGAGACCGGCTACGCGCCCAAACAGCGCCTGAAGATGACGATGTGGCTTTCTCCGTTGAACCGGCCGAATCTGTCGACGAGCCATCTTCGTTCCAAGTGAACAGTATCAGACTGAACGGAGGTGCCGCCTCCCATGTGCTCACCACTGACACGCAGCCCTACAACGATTTGGATCTGATATTTAATATCAGCCTGTTGGGTAATCGCGACTTTGACCGTGTCAAATCAGCTGTACTCAGAGCGCTGGTCGATCTATTACCAGAAGGCGTCAGTCGAAAAAGGATGACGCCTTGTAGTATAAAAGAAGCTTACGTTAGTAAAATGGTCAAAGTCAACAAGGACGGCGACAGATGGTCTTTGATCTCACTAGGCACATTGCCCGGTCAAAGAAATGTCGAGCTGAAATTCGTGGATAAAATGAAAAGGCCATTCGAATTTTCCGTCGATTCGTTTCAAATTGTACTCGACTCTTTGTTACTGTTCTACGAGTGTAGTAGCGGTGTGCCAATCAGTGAAAACTTCTACCCGACCGTTGTAGGGGAATCTGTGTATGGCGACTTCCGCGATGCCATGTACCACTTGGAAAACAAACTGATCGTCACCAGAAACCCGGAAGAGATCCGAGGTGGAGGTCTGCTCAAGTACTGCAACCTGTTGTTACGCAACTACGCGCCCGATTATGATGGCGACGGCACCAAAAAACTCGAGCGTTACATGTGCTCTAGATTCTTCATCGACTTCTCAGACATTAACCAACAACGCGCCAAACTGGAAAACTACATGAAAAACCATTTTTGCGCACCTCAAGAAGAATATATGAAACTGCAGTACCTTAACGTTCTCAAGCAAGTAGTCGAGGAAAGCACCGTGTGCTTAATGATACACGAGAGGCACCAGACATTGGCGCTTATCGCCGAACTATCGTGGCAACTGATGGCTGGACACGGAATGTACTACTACTATCATCCGCCACCACAGATGACCATGTCCATGGGACATCACAGCCAACTACCCGCTACTCTCCATTGCCCATCATAAGCGCCCCGTTACATTTCGTCAAGAAAATCATGATACGTTTAACAATTTAACAAATCTTTTTGTTCGTATGTCTATTTATATATATTATGTTAATTATTATAATTTTTCAAGATCTCTCAAAAAAAAAAACAAAAAAAAAAAACACCAAAAATTTATGTAACACAAAAAAATTAAGGTCTCTCAACCTTCTGCCCGGCAATTGTATTTTATTAAGTTAATCGCCGAACAATGTTATTTTATCATGACACCGCGTTACCGAGCGAGGAAAAAACGTTCACGAAAACATCTTTGAAATACCTTTTTTCACTTTTTTTTTTGTCATACGTACAATTGCACATGCACATTTTAAAGTCAAATTTTGATTTATCACAAAAAAAAAAAAACTTTTTTTTTTAAGATAGAACACCATTATATAAAACTCGCGTACTTAATGAACTTGGTCCTTTGTATGTATATTTTTTTATTTTGGCAGCCATTGTTGACTATTGCTTTTGCATTAACCACGAAAAGAATTTTTATTTTATTTATACAATTTTTTCGTTTGAATGTCCGTTACCATCGGAAAAAGTAAAACTCTAATTTATACGAATAAAAAAATATTACTAGTTTGATAAATAAATGATAATTTGATGTGGGAAAATAATTTCTAAATTTACTTAGACGTGGTTCTTTTAATCGTACACCGATTTCGATATTAAACCAATTGTTCCGTATTATAAAGTCTACAAAATTATCTTTTATGCCTTACTATGTATAAGTGATAATATTTACTTATTAATGAGAGTACAAGCATTCGCTTCCGTATTTTTTTTTTGTCGGTCGTGTATTTTTTCCCGGGAGAGCTTATAGTTCTTAAAAAAAAAAAAACTAAAAAAAAAACAAAAAAAAATTAAATAAAAATTAAAAACGAAAAAACAATTTTACATTTTTATGATAAATATATAAATATATATGTTTATATATATATTATATACATACGTGTAACACTTATGTATACGTTTGTAAAAAATAATTATATTGATGATATTATATGATATTATATGATATAATTTATTTTCCATGAGATATAATATATTTAATTTTATCGTGTTTGTGATATCATTTAGCTGCGATTCTATTACAATTATTAAATATAAAAACGGATACACAACCATAAATAATTAAGGTATAGTAGAGAGATGTAAAAATATATTTAAGTGTGTACAATGTATGTGTGCGTGTGTTTGTTGTAAAGAAGAAAAACAGCACAATCACCGAATAATTTTGTTTTTTTGTTTTTATTCTTATTACCCAACGTTTTGTGTGTAGTTATTTGTCTTTTAAGTCGAAAAATATTATATAGTAAAAAAATATTAAAAAAAAAAAATAAAATATTTAGTAATATTATCTTATTTAATATTTATAACATTGCATTGTTTGTTGTAATAAACATTCCTAATGAAAAATTGAATGTGTTATATTGGAAAGAAATGATTAGATTGAAAAGCACACACAGTCACATTGTCTTCTAGTCTGTAAATCATATTTGTATAAAATAAATCCTATATTTTTTCAATGACAGCATCAAGCGGGTTTTCAATTTTTTTTTCCAATTTTTTATTCCTATGTATCATTGAAGTACGTTCATGTTATATTGTAATAATTATTATCAGTGAATATAATTTAATTGTGAATAGAAACGCATAATTGTACCATGTAATATCGACACGGTGAATGTACAACAATATTGTTAAATGTGAATATGTGTGTGCATTTGTTTCTTTTTTAACTGACGTTAGTACAAGTACTCGTTTATAAAAGTAACCGTAGAAGGTTTCCAGTATTAAAAAAGCGAGAGAATTTTTTATAATGAGGATTAAAATTAAATAAATACATCTCTTTGTCAAGCAATTTATTTTTTTTAAATATCCTAGAGTTATACAATGTTGTGATATTATGTCAATATATTATTAATTTTAATCGTTATATTAACTTAATATTGTACATATTATTATTATTATTATTATTATATTCATTTTTCGAATAATATTTTCTAATAATTTTCATCCATGATGATAACTCCCCCTTCAATTGTTGTCTACTGTCCCCGGTACATTTTTTTTTGCATGTGCCACTTCTATCTTCCACTAATCATAATAATTTTATATAATATTATATATTATTGTACATTTATAGTATACCCTTCTGCCTCTTTTTTTTTTTGTTATTGGTGAATATAGGTACCAACGCTAAACACGTTTTTAAGTGTTCACAATTGTGTTGTATATGTAAAAACAATGTTAAAATATAAGTATAATATAAGGCTGATGTCTTTTTAAGTTTATCTCTTATAATTATACATGTTAATCAAAAAAATAAATATTACTTGAAAGGTAAAAAAAATTGTTAATCTTATCTATGATGATATTATTTTAAATGCAACCATTAGTTTTATGAAAATCCAATTTTTTGAAATAAAAGAATATTTTAAATATATTATTATTATGATCATTATTTTATTATTATATATTATAGACTTGTTTAGCATAAAACTTATTGAAAAATTTAAATAAACAATTTTATTTGTGTAAAAAAACTGTTGTTTTTCTTAATAAATACGAAATACTTTCCTTATAATCTATTTTCGAGTGTGGTGAATAATAAAAAAATAATTAGCTCGACATGTATTTTTCTGCGGTCGATGACTGAACAATAATATTTTCATCGTTTGTACGTGACCATTGCGCATGAACATTCTCTTCAAGGAGACGACTGCTCGGCAGTGGGCCACGAGGAACCGTTTCCGACCTCACGACTATCGTGTGCTGTTTGCACCCGTCTGGGTTACAATAAACTATTGTTACCGCGTTGCAACGTGTTATCTGTTAGAATACTATTGAGCATAGTGTCTTTCAAAAACGAGACCTCTTTTTAACCGTTGCCTGTCGGCTAAGGGTAGTTGGACACGAAGGAGCTCGTTATTTTTTCTTTCCGGAGGGCAGCTGTTGCCATTCCAATAACCACGCTCGCAAACATCTGCCGGCAGTAGATCGGATTGTTAGCTGTGTTGGATTTTTTTTTTTTTTTATTCTTAACCGTTCAAGGCGCTAGTAGCCCCCCGAGCTGCCCGTCGTTCAAGGTTCGAATTTTGAACGCTTCTGAATATTACCGCGGTCTAGGATCGTTTCCATGGTATTTCCTTCGATTCAGTCGTTGTCATTACTCATTTCTCGCCCAAGGCGACCGACGGCAGTCACCCAACGGTAACTTAACCGCGACATTATGCAACACAATGTTTCCCGACCACGATCAGGTCCGTCGAAAAAACCCGCACACTATCTACACCGTTGATTCCATACATTCATCGATTGTTGTTGATATTCGCCGTGCCGTGCCAATATATAAATCGACAACGATCTACATAATATTCGTTCCGAAAAACAATCGCATTATCCTTGTGTATCTGCCGAATAATAACAATTTTTCGTATGACACGCAATGGTCGTAACAAAAAATGTTGACTGGTTGCCAAACTGTTCCACCGGCTGGTCCTTCAGGTGCTATGTAACTATGCACGATGCTACACAAGCCTAGTGTTGAACATCAGTAGCCAACACTTACATAATAAATTGTACACGAATATTAGCCAATGTTATTCTATTATACTCGCCGTTATATTTTTACCACAAAAATTGTTGGAAAAAGTTTTCAACAAACGCGGTCACGATTCGTTTGTTGGTGACCTTTACTGCTCACTCAGCAATTCATACAACGCACTTAAAAAATAATAATAAAACAAGTAAGTCGGAGCTTTTTATTCTGTAACGCTGCTGCGTTGGGTACAGTTTGCCAGCAGTCACTTTGCAACATTTGTAACATGATCGTAAAAATCATTCAATGCATTAACAGCCTGACTGATGATGCGTTTTATTAATTGTAATTTATCTTAAGGTAATGATAAGTCATTATATAACGAAAGAATGACCTACAGTCGTGATCGCACAACTAATGCACGCAAATACGACCGATCTGTTCATTATTTTACTTAATTTTTTTTTGGCGGGAAGGATTATGTAATCGTGTAAATTATGGTGGTGCGCTAAAGTCGTTTGAAACGAAAACGAACACTGGTTTTAAATGCCTCAACAGGCTTATTTATTGATTTAAAATTTGCTAACACGTGTAATTATAAGGTAACTCGACAATTCAATTTATCTGGCAATCATGAGATGTGTACTTAAAACAATTCCATTAATATATAACGGATCGTGGGCGTTCCTACTCATTTGGTAATAATTGGATAGAATTGAGAGTACACTTCTAAAATGACGCCAACAAAATGATTATTTAAATTTTTAACGGAAAGAAAATAATATGTATTTGAGGATGCTGAACATTTCATTTTTAGTGTGCTATCAAATGTCTTGTCATTTCATAAAACGAACGTTAGGATGTCGATGATTTTATAGTTTCATGCGATTTATTTGCATTTTAAAATAAGTAAGCGAATAAAAAAAATCTACACGAACTTAACAACTATTCATGCATATAATGCGCTTAAAATTATGCTTCTAAAAGAACAGAAATTATAATTAAACACGCAATATTTACATTAAAAGAAAAAACTACACGAAACTTTGTATAACAAGAGGTTAGTTGAAACTGGAATCTAAAATCAATGGCCTTAATACCCACTTAACACTAGCCGAAGTTTTCAACCCCTAAGTTTCTAACGGTTTCGAAATTTTTATTGAAAATTAATACTCTTATTACACAATAAGAGTACCACAATAAAGTACAAGTACTCTGTGTAATATTTGCTCATGTGTAATAACAAATCTAAAATATTTTCAACAGCTACGCTGTAACCTTGAACTTTGAGACCAAATTATAGTTTGCATTTTATGGCGTTTTTTCGGAGTTTTCAATCAAATTTTTTCTTTGACCAAATCATTAGTCTTGTACAATTTATATGAAAATATTTTTTACGATGTAAAACGTTTAATTTCTAATCGGCTAAAGGTTTTTGGAAACCTAATTGAAATTGGTTTGAATTAAATTAAAATTTTTAAATCAATAGCAGTGTTATTGAAAATTGGATTTGCCATTTTTCTTATACAAGCGATTTTTTTTTTATTTAACATTTGAAATGACCTTACACTATTTTTTTCATATTTAGTAACTGATTAATTAAAACTTTTACTGCTTATATGAATTTTCATTATTTCACCACAATAGTCAGAATGAAACAAAATAAGTATATGGAAATTTTGCGAATTATGTCACGGTATACTAATTTTAATCATAAAATACAAATAAATTTTCAAATTTCTGTGTTAAAAAATAAAATAAAGTCATGTCAAGATTCTTTCTCATTAAAAGAAAACCACGTAAATATTTATATTGTAAAAGTATAGCACTAATATTATGAATTAATTTTATTGGTGCAATACGTAAAATTTGTTTAATCGCACCTATTTACTGCGGAGCACTTGTGAAACTCGCAAAAATAAATACAGCACCCACGCTTGATTAATTTCAAATGTAAAATTCATGTGAATCAGGTATAGGTGTTCTGCTGTTGTACGATGGATTGGTACCCATAAAATTGTTACCACTGAACGAACATCAGCCATGATTTTTATTTAGTCAACAGGAAAATGTGTTGATTTCATGCCAAATTTACAATTTGTTGATTTTATCGGACGAGGAAATAAAAATAACTAAATTATACTTAATAAATAATTCATCTTCGCTTATGCTTTAACGTTACACCGAGAAAAATTACACAATATCAAAGAAATTCATCGAATAGGTTGGGTACTTCTGATAAGTTTCGAATATCAATTAATAATAACAAGAACATTAAGCTGCACATTATAATAATACATTAAAAAAAAAAAATCCAAACTGATACAGCAATCATTTATCACCTGTACATAGATGCAGTTTGAATGTGTTACATTACACGTGCGTTCAAATCGTGTATTGTCTGAAATTTGCCAATTAAACACTACCGGCAATCGTTTTTCTTGTAATGTTTTTTAATGTACAAAAGTAATAAAAACAGTTACACACGTGCCAAATCCACTACCTGGCCGATTATAAATTACAATTTATGTATCAATGTGTATATGGCGAACGTTTTTTTCCGCGATCTTAACAACGTGTCATATGGTGTATACCGTTTTTGCATAGTAATTATAGTCTCCACTAAAAAACTACAATCCATTACCAATGTGATCGATGGCATATCCAGTGGGGATAAGAGGGACAGCCCCCCTATTTATAGCAATATTCATATCTAAAATGAAGTGATGAGCAAAAAAAAAAAAAAATATATGGAATTTTGTAGATTTTCTTTTTACTATGATAACTTTTAGTGTTAACAAACTGTCCAAGATAGTTTCTTATATATTTCACGAGTGCTAACTGCGTAGTTAGTGCGGGTAATCTTCAGATTAACATTGTGTGCACAATAGGCAATAAGATATTACTCTCTGTTGCCTCTCCATCTAAAACTTGCTAGACTAATGAGGTAACGACAGATTACCTTAACGTTATCTTATTACTATTCATAATAAGTATGACATTAACCTTCAGAAAGTAATTGATGTTTTTACACTGGTAAATTGTAAGACATAGGTACACTTTCGATTAATACATTCGGGTGGTCTTTCAAATTAAACGTACAATCGTTCAATTTGTTGTGAACGCCCAAGTATAAACTTACTATTATTTAAGTGATCTAATACGAGAGCCTTGAACGAGGTGTAGTTTATCGAAATTACACGTTGCTCGGGT